GGTGGTGAGAGCATAAAACAGAACCAATATGGCATAGTTTGTAACTTATCTATAGCAATATGACATGTGTTGTGCTTCTGAAATTCATAAGATGAATCAGGCCAGATGGGGAAGCCTCTAAGACACCAAACTATGCCACAAGAGCAGATGAATGAAGGAATAGAATTGAGAACCAAATTTGGCATGAAATAAACATAATCAGTTTGACGGAATATAATCAAGTAAGTTGTTAATCTCTCCCTTTTCAAGAATGATACAAGGCTGGTTCATACCTACAAAAAATTTCCATCTCTGAAACCACCCTTCAAGAGAGACAAATTAAGAAAGTATATACATGTGAGGATACATACATGTGAGGTTACAGTCCAACATTTGTGCCAGGGAAACTATCATTTTAACCTTCATCAGGAACTACCACCTTAAGAACAGTTAAGTCAAACAGTTGATAATTTTTAGCTTATCATATGGTATAACAAATGAATGACTCAATGGATTCTCTCCTTTACTTTGGCTTTGCAATTGTGACTAAGAATTACTTTAACAAAATTTATAGCAATAAAAGGATAATAAGAGTATGGACGAAAAATATAAGTGTAACCTTGAGTCTGAGAGGTGAGTATGAAGGCGTATTGGATCATGCACTCCAATGTAATTTCTATGCTTTTCATTAGTCTCATAGCTGCAATGAGCCAATGTTTTAAATGGAGAAGAAATTCCTGGAATTAAGAAATATATAATTCTGGTCAGCCCACGATTTTTAAAGTTTCAAATTGAGAAAAACGTGTATAGAGTCAAAACCTTGTTAAAAGAATGGATTTTATGAATGAACACCTCAAGTGACATATTGCTTTACAAAAATCAATGTCTAATGTACCGAGCAAGTATAGTAACACTACAAATATACAACTGAAATCATATGCTCATTGCTAGTCCGAATGATCATGCACTGAGTTAACTCGGTAAGAGGCATCTAAGAACAACGTCTCAGCAATAAACTATTTGTGCTTGATAAAGAGAGAGATGCTTAACCGAAAATTGAAGAACAATAACATGAATCCATGAACTCCTTTACTTTGATCTGATCTTGGATCGGTGTACATGGTTCCTTAAACTGCCTTAATATCTTCTCGAAGATGACTTTGATCATCGGTCCACAAACCCGGTAGATCTTCTACTCATTGACGTCGAACCTGGATCATGATCATGTGAAACCAAAGACAATTTTAGATTCAGCGTTAGTCGATCACTCTGAGAAAGTGATTACCGATGAATGAAGGGCCCGAGACAGAATTTCCGGAAGCTATTTGGTGTAGCCTGCTTTGGGCAGGGAGACTAATCCCTTTCCCAATGAATCTCTCGAGATTGAAGAAAAGAGGAGAAAATCCGTATCCATTTTGTGTTCTTCATCTTCCAATTTTTTCCATTCATACTAAACCTTGGAAGCAATGGCGGCAGAAGTGAAAAGAAGTAAATGAGAGCTGGAGGCATTTTCCCCCATATTAATATTGCTCAGAAAACGCAAAAGGTGTTTAAACTTTAAACCCTAGAAAGGAAGACGAAGAGCCCTACGCAGCTACCGAAACTGAAGAATCATA